AAGAAGAAGGCACGAGAAGTAGCGCGAGGAGGAAGGAGAACGCCGAGAGCCGACGATAGGTGCCGTTACTTCTTATTCACACTCCCGGTCATCTCAATAGATACGTCGGGTTCGCGTTCACGCCGAAGCCCTATATTCTCGCACGTAACAGTTCACTGGCGTTAGGCCATAAGATACTATAGTTACGACGAATAGTACGTCACGCAGTCAGAGCACTCATAACGCCTCGGGTAACCACAAAATACGATACTGCATAACTGGAATGTGTACAGGGTGACCCAAAAAATGCAACCCAAACAAGTGTTAATAATTTTTTTGATATTGATGTGAACCCTTTCATTTTTTCAGATTTAAAGAGGTGAATAGTTGTCAATCAGATTAGAATCAAGAGTTTTTCAAGATGCCTTGGACTCTTCGACAGAAATCATGGTCCGTGGAAACGTACTTTTTGACCAAATCGTTCAAAACTGTACAAGCACGTTTCAAGAAGGAATACAATTGCTGCATCTATCCAAACAAAGATGGGTACAGAAGTTTAGGGTGCATGGGACTGTCAGGAACCTCAATGCCAAAGGGAATACTCCCACACACTCATGGAGACAAAGGAGTGCAAGGACAGAAGAGAACATCACCTCAGTCAGGACCTTGGTTGGCCGCAGTCCAAAGAAGTCGTTACGTTGGCGCAGCCAACAATTGGGCATTCCGAGGGAGTCTCTGAGGAGAATTATCTGGGACAGCTTATGCTTAATTTCTATCCTGTATGGGTACGAATGCAGATCCTGAATCAAAATTCTCCTCAGAAACTCCCTCGGAATGCCCAATTGTTGGCTGCGCCAACATAACGACTTCTTTGGACTGCGGCCAACCGAGGTCCTGCCTGAGGTGATGTTCTCCTCTGTCCTTGCGCTCTTTTGTCTCTCTGAGTGTGTGGCAGTATTCCCTTTGGCATCGAGGTTCGGATGAGGACCCTGAACTTCTGTACCCATCTTAGAATGAGTCCTTTGTTTGGATAGGTGCTGAAATGTGCTGTGTTTTGGTGAAATTTTCACTTGTCGACGCACTCGCTCACTTCCGACAGCGTGTGAAAATGGAGGAAATTTTCCTCTTCGATGCGAAATGCATCGTCCGGGCATTTCATTATTTACGAAAAGTAAAAAGCTTGGCGAAAAACAGTAGGTACGGGACCTGGTCACGTCCGTGACGCTCCATTCATGCCCATCAACGAAGAAGGTGGGGCTTATTGTGATTACGGAGATGCCAAAATGCAACAAAAGGACGTAGCGCAGTGCGCTAAACGACGTGTTATTTTTGTTGTTGTGCCAAACTCTATCGTAGGAAACCGTTCTTGCCTAGCAGAATGCCCTAGTACCTGAGATCGGCGATTCCGTACCGTGATGGGTCCTCACCTATAAGAATTTCTCAGGGAGGTGCGGCGTAGGCTGTGATTGGAGGACACAAAGTGTCAATCCTCGGCTCGCCTCGGCATCATGGCCGCATGACGTCAAGATTATTGTTATTA